ATTAGCTTTTATAGTGGATAGATCTTCTGGTTGTGTAGTGGTTACAAATCGGGCTGCGAACATCAAGGTCAGCGGTTAGAAACTACCAGCTGTTCCATGGGAGAAAGATGAGGCGTTCTGCTCCCATAAAGATTCACAGCCTCGGAAACCCTGTACAGGGTCGCTATGAGTCGGAACCGACTCCACGCCACATAACAACAACAACAACAAGATCTTCAGAGTCCAAAGACTTGACTTTTCCCTATGATTTAACCCTATGTGCATATGTGAAGGTTGAAAACATTCCCAGTTTGACTCTTAAGTGTGTACTCTTTCCAATATTCCAGACAGTCTCCAATCCCTTACATCCTTAAAATGTTTCTCAGTATGAGTAAATATGGTCGTGGTGTGGTGGTTATGTGCCGTGGAGTCGGAACCGACTCATAGCGACCCTGGACAGGGTTTCCAAGGCTGTAAATCTTTCTGGGAGCAGAAAGCCTCATCTTTCTCCCGCGGAACAGCTGGTAGTTTCGAACTGCTGACCTTAAGGTTCGCAGGCCAATTCATAACCACTACACTACCAGAGCTCCTTCAAGTAAATATAATGGCAGTATTTTCAAGAATTTATTATATTTTTTGGTGCATACACCAGAATATATATCTAGCTTGCTAGCTATCACAAGAGTGTTTTTGTTGATCGTGTCCTTAACAAAATTATTCTCATCAGTCATGGCTAGACAAGCTTGGCATCATTAGAAGAGACATCATTGCTGGCATGATGCAAATGGTGGGGATTCTAGGTTGCGATCAGGACTAACTAATTAGTTATGTCCCACACAATTGCAAAGCAGTACCATAGGAACAATGTGTCATCCACTAGGGAAATGGTTCTTCTTCCTCCCCCGACCCAAAAAACAAAACAAAACAAAACATAAAACAACCCATGCCCGTTACTGTCAAGTTAATTCTGACTCGTTGGGACGGTGTTGGAAAGAGTAGAACTGCCTCATAGGGTTTCCGAGGTTGTGATCTTTACAGAAGCAGACTGCCTCACCTTTCTCCCACAGAGTGGCTGGTGGTTTCGAACCTCGGACCTTTTGATCTAGTGCTTTACCACTATATCGCCAGGTCTCCTTAGGGAGATGGTCTTAGGGTTGACCAATTCGGGTCACATTAAGGCAGGCAAGGACCCAGCAGCTTTCTGTCTTTTCTTGTCACTTGTCCCTCTTGGTCTCAAGATGGCTGTCACAGCTCCAGTCATCACCTCCTGAAACATACATAGATCCAAAGATTAAAGGCTACTTCTTCGTAGCATGTATTTTGTTTGAATTAGTGGGGAGTATTTTTCTCAGATGTTCCTTCTCTCCTCGCTGACTTGCCTTTTGGTTTTCTTCATTGTTGCATTTCTAGCTCACACTCATCCCTACAGCAATCACTGGCAAGGGAGACAGATGCATGGGATATGCTCCATAAGCTCTCTGGGGCAGGGAAGGCGAGTCACCTCTCCTGAGCTGCATGGCTGGATCACTGGCGGGGATTAATTCAAGCTCAGCCAACAGGGAACGACAGTGGTGGGGGAGGCTCTGTTGGGCAGAACATAGTGACTACTCCTCTGTCATAGTAATAATGCTGTTAGACCTTCTCTTTAGTTAGTTGTGAACTTACGTTATCCCCTTGATAGACTCTAGATTCCTTAAGCATGAGGACTTACTAGTTTTATGAACACATGGAGTAGTGCCTTGCCCCAGCAGGTACTCAATAAATATTAGATGAATTGATTAGAACTGGCCCACATGCCAATTGATTAAACACTTGCTTGCTTTTTTTTTTTCTAATTGAATCCTAATGCCTTCAAATCAAGTTCGTTGTTTGAATATTGACATCCTCCCAGGAAAGCTATGCTTATTCATTCCAGAAAATGATTAAGTGGCCATAATTTTAAAGGTACTGGAATATAGTCACTGTGGGCACTGTGTATGTAATATAAACCTTGCAAAGTTTGTTTACAGTACTATGTGGGTGTAGGAGGAAAAAGGGATTCAAATATAAATATGAGTGGGAAAGAAATGTTGTTCTGAGTACATTATATGCATTGGTTAGCATTTGGAAGACAATGCAGTAGAACTTTTTGTGTGGCAGATTATAAAGTGAAGGAAACAACTTATATATAAAATCTCATGGATTGCTTCTCTTTGAAGTTTCATTTAATAAAAGTTTCCTTAAGAAAACTAATTTCTTTAGTTCTTTCAAATTTAGTACATGATTACACATATCACGTAATTTCATTTTGAAAATGGTTTTCAGTAGAATAAGATCAAAAGACCAGATTTTGTTTACCAGTGTGTGATGTGAAGTATGGAAAAATGTGTTCCCAGTTCTAATTTGTTTTGTAATATAAACAGTTTCCCAAGAGTTTATCTTTTTCAATGTAAAGAATTCTTCACATAAACTTTCTTTCATTTGGTTCTGATCTTGTGACTGTACACGTTCATAATTTTCACTTTGTTGTTGTTGTTAAGGGCCATCGAGTTGGTGCTGACTCATAGCGACCCTATATAGGGTTTCTGAGGAGCTGCTGGTGAGTTTGAACCACTGACCTTGTGGTTCAAACCAACCTTTAGGTTCAGTGCATTATCCTGCAGTGCCCTGGCAGGACACCCCTTTTCTCTGCCACCACCACCACCACCATCACCGTTAAATCAACTCAAAGACTAGGAGGGGTGCCATTTGTGTCAAAACAGAACTGTGTACTGTATAATTTTTGTGTTGTTGTTGTTATGTGCCATCGAGTTGGTTCCGACCCATAGCGACTCTTTGCAGGGTTTCTGAGGCTGTAAGTCTTTATGGGAGCAGAAACCTTCATCTTTCTCCCGCGGAGCAGCTGGTAGCTTCAAACTGCTGACCTTGTGGTTCACAGACCGATTCGTAACCACTACTCTACCAGAGCTCCTTGTAGTGGCTGATTTTTTGGAAGTAGATCGTCAGACCTTTGGGTGAACTCAAACCACCAACCTTTTGGTTAGCAGTCCAACACATGAATCCTTTGCATCACCCATTTAAAAGATGTAAGATAGTATCAGTTAAATTTTCTCTGAAAAGAATGATAGTTTTTGTTGGTCTGCCAAATGGTCAATTGGTAATTTGTAGGTTGTAAGTATTTCACACCTCACTCATGAATAGTCTTTTTTTTTTTTTATGTGTTCTTTTGAGGGACGTTACATATTAAGTTCAATTCAACAAAAAGACATGAGTAATTTTTTTTTAAACATTTTATTAGCTGCTAATGACACTTCATTTTTGTTACAGCATTTACTAAGGAAAGTGATTGTAGACAGCAGTCAACTATGTTCCTGTGGCATTCCTGAAAGCGTTCAGTTCTTCCGTCCTTGTCTGTTCCTTTAATCCTGTCGGGGGTGGAGGGAGGGGTAGTGGCAAAGGGACAAGCAGCATAATTAACAAATAGTCTGCGTGGGGATTATGGGTAATAATAACACGTGGCTTCGGTATTGCTAAATAAATGGACAATTTTGGTTGAACTCTAGAACCTCCAAGGTCTCTCTGTCATCTCACTGTCATTAGACATGAGGCATCCAAGAAGGAGGTCCTTAATGTTAGGACTCTCCAAACCTTTCAGTGAGTGCTTCCTGGATGCCAGATACTAAGCTCGTTTTCGTTTCTTTTCCATTAAACATCTCTGTTACCCATGAAGAACCAGAGTTGTAAAGATGGGAAACCACTGGCTCCAAGTCACCTTTCCCTAAAGAGTTTTGGCAAGGTGTGACAACATGATAAAACCCACAATTTGCATTATTCACAAACAAATCTATTTGTTTTCTATACAAAGGATACCTTAGACTAGAATACTCAACTAAAGGCACCAGATTATGTGAGATGCAATTAACTTTCAAAAAGTCTATCCTGTATTCTCTTTACATATACTCCTGATTGTGAAGCTACATAAGGTATATTGTTGTTGTTAAGTTCCATCGAGTCAGTTCCGACCCATAGAGACCCTGTATAGGGTTTCCGAGGAGCAGCTGGTGAGCTTGCTTGCAGTTCAAACTGCTTTGCAATCTGGCACATTAACCCACAGTGCCACACCAGGACTCCACATAAGGCATAGACTACAGATGCATTGTTCATTGGGCAACTATGGTATTTGTACTAGGACAGAGCCTTGAAAACGATCTAATCCTGTCACTCTTAACTCCTCACCCCCATTTTGAAAGCAAACACCCATAAAGTAACTCTGACCACTCTCCACTTTGGAACAAAGCCAGAACTAGAACCCAGGGGTCTGCCACCCCGTCCCCCAGTCCAAGTCATTTCCATCTTCCCCTCGCCTGCATCTCAGTTGCAGCTCACCAGTGGCATTCCTAACTTGTGGAGCCCCACAGTCTCCTCTATAGGGAACTGGGGGTGTATGCATATGGGTGAGGTCACTTACTGACTATGTCCCACTCATTTTGAATAGTTTCCCACACAGGAAGCATATTTTGAAGTAAATGATGAAAAATTCTTGCTGAAAGCTTAATCTACAAGAAACCCAGCCTTGAAAGGGAATCACACAGTCTGTCTAAAAATTCACTGATTCCAAGTGAAATTAGGATCAATTTTCCCCCAGGTAATCACCAATAATCTTCCCCAAAGGCTTTACAGAGATTTTCCATCTCCCTTTTGTAACCTGCTCAAATATTTGCTTCTCCTCACTCTCAAAACCTGCCCTTTTTGTATCTTCAATGCAATTCTACACTCATCTTAAGGGTCAAACTCTTGAAAGATAAGAACCGATATGGTCTCCAACTGTTGCCCTTAAAATTAATGGGTAATATTTATTCTGGCTGGAATTCAAAATCACTAAAATTTGAACCCACCACGAAAGTTCTGGTCTTAATTACTAAGTCAGGCAGATGAATACACTCCTTTGCAATGTAAAGTTTCTCTACTGTGGCGTGGACTGTTAAGCATCCAGGCAGTTACTGCAGCTCTGGGGTTTGGATAGTTGAAGAACTATGCTGCTTTTAAGATGTACTCACCACTTCTTCCCTCTTGGTCTTGTCCGTTGCTGACCAAGCTTCCAGGGGCAGATCAGGAAGCATGGGGGGCAGAGGCTGCATGGGGAACATCGGAGACAGAGGTGGCTGTGGGGGCAGGGGCTGCATGGGATGCATGGGTGGCTGGGGATGCATGGGCTGGTGAGGTTGCTGCTGGACAGGCTGGTGCTGGATGGGCTGGAAGGGCTGCTGGACGGGCGGGAGGTGTGCCTGGTGGTGTTGGGTTGGAGTCATGGAGTGTTGGCCGGGAACTGGCATCATTGGCTGCTGAGGGGCCACGGGCTGCTGAGCGGGCACCATGGGGATGTGGTGATGAGGCTGCATGGTGTGGCTCGGGGGATGCTGCTGGGACAGCACGGGGATGATTTGGTGGTGCAGCCATCCACCCATGGGCTCGTAACCATAGGAAGGGTACTGGTAAGAAACAGAGAGTCACATTTACCATTGGCTCCATTGACCTCCAGCGGGAGAAGTCGTAATGTTTTGTTTTGTTTTTTTGTCATTGTGACCATATGAAAATACTTCATTTAAAAAAAAATTACTTTGCAAGGATTTCTAACTGTGTACACAGACCATTGAAAACCCTATGGAGCATACAGTTCTAGTCTGATACTCATGGAATTGTCTGCATGGCCACTGGTTGCTTGGTTGGTTGGACACAGATCTGACTCATGGCAACTAAATTTCCCATTTGTGTCTGTATGTGGAGGAGACCTGCTGTTGCACTTAATAAGCGGATGGAGATGCCGACTTAACATTTTAAGGAAATAACAAACGAAATAGCTACATACCGGCTGCCTTATCATGTTCTGGTACCACTTCAAAGGGGTGAGCACCTTAACAGAAGGAGATAACAAAACACACATGCCTTAATTTAGGTTCACGAACTAGAAACTCACTCCCACAGCCCTGTTATTATTGGTAACCTGTAAGTGTGACTTCCAAGGTAGGCATTTGTCCAGGGCTTTGAGGTATGGGGCACTGCACTGCATCCGTTATATGCATTGTTCATGTTTCCTCACATGCTGTGAGGCAGGTAACATCTGTCACCTCAACAGACCAGGTCATGGGGGATTCCAGAGAGAGGCTCGTTTACTTGACTGAGATTACAGGAGTAGTAAGTCCATTTCACTTCATTGCGAGACATAAAAATAATGTGACCCAATATTTTTTGATTTGCTATCACAATGGAAACAGTGCCCCTCATCCTAGAAACATGAGTATATACTTGAGGCTCGAGTGCCCCTTCACGTAATAATAGAACATTTTAATCAGTACAAGAAAACAATTATTAACCATGCTCAAGCTCTACTTCACAAAGCACTTATAATATTCATTAAGTCCCCAAACCACAGTTTGGAGGTGTGGTTATTATTGTTAATGCTCTCCTCCAGATGAGGAGACCAAAGTTCCAGAGAGAGAACATTGGTTTGTCTAAGGTTAGTCCAAGGTTAAGGAAAGCCTCAAACTGGACTCCAGAACTCTCTATCCAATGCACGGCAGAGTCTCTCAGAGACCATTTGGTCGCTACTCTTTCAGTAAAGACACGCTGAATGGGAACATCTTACAATCAGTGGTTTTCGAGTTAGAAAGGATCTTAAATAAATACCATCTTACCAGAGTCCCACATTTTCCACGCTGGGTTAGAGCAAGGCTGTTCAGCCTCTACTCACTATGTGTCCTAACATGGTGGAGAAATTCATAGCCATAAGAAATAGGAGAGACTGAGCCAGAGAGGCCAAGTAGGATGGTGCAGGGAATAGGAGACCTATCAGGGCTTAACCTGGGAAGGTGGTGGCAGGAACTGAAAATTGAGACTCTCTGAGAAACATTTTGAATGACAGCTCAACACATTATTCTTTACAGAGCCCTGGGCGGGTGTTAACTCAAGACAATGATTAAAATTAGTAAAGAGAAAAATTACCTCATAGCTGAAGTTGATATAACCAGGGTGCCCAGGATGAGGTGGTAGCTTTTTAGGGAAGGGGAAGAAAGATGAGAAGGAGAGAGAGGGAGACATTAAGTCAATATGCAGTTGTTTACATTAAGGGAAACTGAAGCTATTCCAGATAAAATGTTTATAGTGGTTTGACGTCGACTTTCAGCTTGTATTTGGATACTATATAGGAGAGGCACCTTCTTATTTGAAATAGGCCCAAAAGAGTTCATTGACTTTTTGTAGGGGTGAGGGGAGAGTAGGGTGGTCGTTTTATAGTGGGTGAACTTCTGGAAGCAGAGACCAGCACTGTCGTATTCCCCAGTGCTCTCAGGACTCCCCATGTTGTTGATAGATAGCTATCCTAGCTTATCCACCATTTTACTTGAGGCAACTCACTCCATATTGAGAAGAAAGGCATGTTTGTCTCACACAGTTACCACATAGCAAAAAGAAAACTGTCCCACAAACTTTCTCATGTACAAGAGGAGGTTGTTAAGTTCTTAAGTATTAAAGGGAGTTCTCCTCATTGTCATGCAAAGGAACTAATGCATCACAATCGACACAGAAACAACACATGGATGAACATGAGAGCAAGATGGAGTGTAGTAAAGCAGAAACTTTATCAGTCCCATGAAAAAATAAAGAGTGGATTTAGAATATTTAGGCCAATATATTGCATTTTTCTGACAAGATTTTTAGGGCCGAAGAATTTCAAAGTGAAAAACAAAAAACAACTTGAATAACAATTTAAACCAGAACTATCTGTCCTTTCAAAAGTGGGTGCCAAGTGGAATTTTGGTTGGCCCTGGAGTTGAGTAGAGGGAGAGAGCCCTGTGAAGCAGATGCCAGGTAAAGAACGCCTTCGGCAGACAGCCAGTTTACCCAGAGTCAGCTCTGAAAAAGCCTTTAGCAGGGCTAATCCCCTCTCTTCTGCCTGTGACTGCATCAGATAACTGCCTTTCCTATCCTTTCCCAGAGAGCAGGGCGTTGAGTTGAGGCTTGGAAAAGGTCTGAAAGTGTAAGCTGTGGCCCCCTCGTGGGACTCCGACGTGTAGGACTTCAGGCAGGCAGGGCAGAGCAGAGCAGAGGCTCTCGGTTTTGTGAGTGAGATGGGAGAAGAGGCAGATAGACATGCTTAGCTGGCCTCTGGTTGTATCAACTCCTCTGTATGCCACTGAAAAGTAGCTGGACTTACTGAAAAGTAGCTGGACTTGCATTGCATTAGCAGGAGCTACCCCACTCTGTCTAGGGCAGTGGGGTCGTCAGACTTACTCGTCTTCCGTGTATTTGAATGTAAAGTCTTTCGATATGTAATAGGCAGAGAAAGGATCTCCTGGGAGATCCTGTGCCCCACCCCAGCTATATGGAATCAGAATCTCTGAGCAAGGTATCCAAGCATCTGTGTTCTCAACCAGCTCCACAGAAACGTTAAAGAATATCTGTTCGAGTACTCTTGTAAACCCTACAGTTGACCAACCATGGGGCAGACATGCTACTCACTGGCATTGCAAAGGCTGCTCCCAGGAGGCAGGCAAACAAAATCCAGGTCCCCATTGCTTGATGGCTCTGAAACAGAAAACATCGACATTCTTACCGCTTTTCACACACACATGCACACACACAAGAATGCTCCACAAAACACACACGGCCATTCTTTGGGAGATGACTTTATTCACATTTGATTCTCAGTGATCAGCTTATCTCATTGTTTCTGAAGTCACCATAGAGATAAAGATGCTTTGAATTTGGCTTGAGAGCTGAACCCATTGGAGGGATGTGACTAATCTGCCATTACATGATTTGACCTGCCATTTCCCTGTACCTGTATACAACCTTCAGAGTCAGAAACGAAATGAAATTTACAGTGATTTGTAATTTCAAGGAGCAAGGCTGGCTCTAGAAGTTAGTGAGATTGCCAAGGTCGTTACACATTAGTGCCCAGATCAAAAGGATTGAAGGTTTGAGTCTACCTAGAGACTCCTAAGTAAAAGGACCTGACGATCGATCTACTTCCAAAAGAAAAGAAAAAAAAAAAATCAACCCTTGAAAGCCATGTGGAACCCAGTTCTACTCTGGCACACACATGGAGCTCCCTGATTTGGAATCAACTTAACAACAAGTGTTTTATTTTGTGTTATACTTTTAGAACATGGAGGCATAGAAATTTATTTTCAATGTTCACTGGCATTATTAAAAGATTAATCATTTGAGAAAAGCCATTAACTAATTTGGCAAAGTGAATTAAGTGGGGTTTCATTCCAGGTGGTTTGACTGTGGAGGGTTTTCAAGCAAGCCCAGGGTTAAAAGAGGGACTTGAATAGCCTGAGACTCTTCCATGAGTTTTGAAGGAATTCATCTTTAATCCATGTTATCTTCCTTTTCCTTGTAATGACTCCAAAAATAGGCCCCCTTGGGACATGAAGCAAAAGAGACTATCCTAAACGTACGCTTGTGACTGCAGGCCAAATTATTGACTAACTTTGCAAACTGTTACTAAAGAGACCGGAAATGTTTGCTAGCCAGTGAATCTGATATACAATAATGCTGGCTATGGAAACTAACACTGGAATTTTCTATAGCCTCCATATGAGTTGGCTTTTTAATTTGTTTTGTTGTTATTGAGAATATACATATCAAAACATAAACCAGTTCAAGTTTCGACATGTACCATTCTTGGTGTTGTGTAATTCACATCCCAGTTTTCTGAGTTGTCCCGCCTACAGGAACATAAACTCACTGTTCCCTGGGATTGGTATCTAATCTTTCGAGTGGCTATTGTCAGTTGGATCCCAAATCCATATCTTAAAAGAGTGCGATGCTTAAGGCTGGCTATGGTATTTTTTGGTTTGGTTCATTTTAACTAACTTAGCTAGGATGTTCTTGGGTTTTCAGAAGACTTCAGGGGATAGTTTTGGTTTTAGGTTTAAAGATTAATTTAGGGCACTAGTTTCAGGGGTTCATCCAACCTTCATGGCTCCAGGAAGTCTGGAGTCCATCTGTTTTTTAAAAGGTTGAATTAATGAGAAAAACCATAGCATGAACATTGAGTTGATGGTTCTATTTGTTGTAATTTAACAGAAATGTTTCTCAAATAGTGACTCATAGCCCACAAAAACAGCTTTTTACCTTTAGTGATAAGGAATTGAAATAAACATTTTGCTGTGTATTTCAGCCCCCAAAAGTACTTTGAGCTTCCACAATGAGCATTTAAAGAACTATAGACAATTTGCTGCATTGTGAAGTAAAACAGTTCGTTTAAATAATCATCAGAGTCTAATTGAATCATGGTCCCAGTGAAGAAATAGCTACATATTGACAGCATCAAGTATTAAAAATATGGAAAACATTTCTATCAGTTAAACATTAAGTGAAAATAGAAAAGAAAAATAAAAACTACACCTATATATGAATAAAATCCACATACCTTTGAATGTATTCAGACTGTTTCTTTCTGAATCTCAGGGATGCTTGATCCTATAGAGTTCTCCCAACTATGAGCTCAATTTATATCATTCATGGCTTCTAGAACAACCAATCAAGTTGCTGAAGGAAAAATATGTTGAGTATACCCCAAAATCCCTGTATCATGATTTTTTTAGCAACTGTGATAAAACATACAACTAAGTGCTGTGATTATTGCATATACAGTCTTTCATTATGGACAATAATAGGTTTAACGGCCAAAACTATGTCAGCAGGCTATTTTGAAGTCAGCGAATTCATAGGTGGCACATACTGGGCAATTCAGATTAATTTTTAAGATGCAGCTCATTGTCTACACCCCTGCTCTAGCGAACATGAAATTGGTCTAGCTAGATGCTTAGATTTCTCTAGTGTATCCAAGATGTCTCTGCTAGGGTTTCCCAGCTCTTTAAAATCAAGATAAATTGATTCGATGCCTCAGTCTTGTATGTGTGTGTATATAAAAGATCACCAGACCTTTTTTCTGAGGTGTTTCTGGGTGGTCTCGAACCTCTAACTTTCATGTTAGCATCTGAGTGTGTTAACCATTTGTGCCACCCAAAGACTCCAAGTTCGGAGTCCCCACTGCCATGTTTCCTGTGCCCATATGTCCACCCAAAGAAAGGACAAGGCCACGGCTTTTCCCTTGATGCAATCCTGCAGCTCATCTGTCATCTAAGCAACCATGAACTCAAGGTTATTGCAATAGCAAAGTGCTTTGTTTTTTTAAAAAAACCTTTATTGTGAATTGTGTGATAGTTTACAGGGCAGCTCATCAGCTTTGCATTCAACTTACCGTATTTTGTTTCATTGCAATGATTACAATCCCCTCCACGCACCATCGGTTAACAGTACGTACCTCTATTCCTTCTCCCTCTTTTTTTTGGATGTACACAAAACACACAGAAAATATATATTAATTTAAACACCCAAAGGGCACATTTTGCAAGCCAGCCTGCTCACTGACATACAACCTCTCTGATAGCATAGCGGTTACAAGTTGGGCTGCTAACCTCAAGGTCAGCAGTTCAAAACTACCAGCCATTCCATGGGAGAAAGATGAGGCTTTCTGATCCCGTGAAGATTTATAGCCTCGGAAACTTTATACAGGGTCACTATGAGTCGGAACCGACTCCATAGCACACCACCACCACCACCAAGAGAGTTCTTAGCTGCTCTAACTATGGTATCACCTCTGCTTCTGTCTCTGGTGTTGCCACTTCTCTGCTCTTCCCTCGGGCTGGTCCTAGGATCTTCTGTTCCTGGAATGAAAGATTAACTACTCCCCTCTTTTTGTTACACAACTTCTACCTTTACAGTTGTGCCTATTGCAAAATGATAACAATTACTCACTATTGAATCAAAAGACCCATCTAGACAAGAGGAAAACTTTTCAGTGGAGATTCTACCTTACACCCCTTGCTCTGAAACGAAGCACACTCTTGAAAACTTGTAAGCCAGCCACTTCATTCCTTTATAGCCTCCCATTTTTGGTAGTCAATGTCTAAGTTGCCCGTCCTTATCAACCCTGTGTACTGAGGGGATAGGCTTGATCCTAGTGCAGAGTTTTTAATGATGATCTGAAGGACAAGGCAAGAGCCATTTCACACCAGAAAACCCACTTAAGAATGTCTTTTAATCCTTAGAAATATAGGGTTTTTCCTTTTTTTTTTTTTTTTTTTTTTTTCTTTTTCCTGCCCATCCTACGTAGCAACTGAGCTTCTCTGAGGCCCAGGCTCTTTCACTGTCATGGATACCAGAACCAGTGATTGTCAGATCAGTTCCCACTCATGTGACGCCATGTACATCAGATTCGAACTGTGCTCCATGGGTTTTCAGTAGTTGAGTTTTCAGAAGGAGATGACCAGGCTTTTCTCCTGAGGTTCCTCCAGGTGAACTCCAACTACCAAACTTTCAGTTGGCAGCTGATCATATTCGCCATTTGTATCACCCAGGGATTCTATTCACTAGCTGGTTCTTTACAGAAAGCATTTACAACCCCGAGTTTGTTGTTGTTGTTAAGTGCCGTGGAGTCAGTTCTGACACATAGCAACCCTGTATATGGTTTACAAAGAGTGGAACGTGGGTTTGAACCACTGACTTTGTGGTTATCAGTCCAGTGCTTATCCTACAGATTCACACCAGGACGATTATTTGGTACTAACCAGAATGACCCTCTCTTTTAGAGTCTCTATCTGCCTGCTCTTTGTGTCTTTGTTGTGTTGTTTTTTTAACACTTTGACCAAGCACACAGATTTATTCTTTTGTTCTGAGATGTAACTCTTTAGAAAGATCAAATGTGTAACTTGACAAGAGGTAGCTAACAATATTAGATCAGTAAAGGAAATATTGAATAGGCTCATATACCCAGAAACAATTGGTACTTACAGCTAAATCTCTTTGAATAGTTAAGGAATAATTATAGTGTGTACATTTATTTTTATGTAGAAGCTCTACATGGCTGAATTAAGATTCAAGGAGAACGTATGCATGTAAGGCAATATAGTAATGGGCTTCCCATTGACATGAGTCCTGAATCCAGCTTGACCATTGGTTGAGGGGTGATTGAAACGCTATCTAGCTGTCTTAACCTCAATTGCTTCATCTGCAAAATAGGGATAATAATAGGACTCACCAGCTGGTCTGCAAAAGAAAGATAAGGCAGAGTCTGCTTTCATCAAGAGTCACAGCCTTGGAAACCTTATTGGAGCAGTTCTACTTTGTCCTAGGGGGAGCGATACGAGTCCGAATTGACTTGAAGGCAGTGGGTTTGGTATTTGATTAAGAGGATTACCAAAAACCCCGGGAACAACGGGATTAAGCACTTAGCTGTTAGCCAAAAGATGGCGATCCGAAGTCATCAGCTGCTCTACAGTAGAAAGATGAGGCAGTCTGTTTCTGCCATGGTTTATAGCTTTGGAAATGCTTTGGGACAGTTCTACTCTGTCCTTAATAAGGTTACTACAAGTCGAATTAACTCAAAGGCAATGGATTTGGTTTTTTAACAAGATTAGCTTGAAAATAAAATGGGGGGGAGGGCATCCCTGGGGAAGTGGAAAGTTATTATAGCCCTACCCAATCCTACCACCTGGCACATAGTAAATGCTTTTAGAAATGCTAGCAAATTAAATTCTAAGATGATCTTTGGGTGTGCTTCAGTAGAGAATGATTAGTCCTCACAACGAAAGACAGACCTTTCAAGTCTCAGGAGAGAGCTTGCAAAGAAGGAAGTAGAAGACTTGTTGTTGTTAAGTGCCATTGAGTCGATTCTGACCCATAGCGACCCAGTATAGGGTTTCTGAGGAGTGGCTGGTGAACTTGAACTGCCAACCTTGCAGTTCAAACTGACTTTGAAGTCCAGTACATTAACCCACAGCGCCACACCAGAAGACAGACCAAAATGGATTAATGGTAAACATAGAATACAGTTATAAAGGCCAATTGTGTCCAAAGTTTGTATTTACTTATGAGTATATTTATTGGTGAATGATATATCAGAGGCTAAAGGGGGTCCCACTAAATGAGATTATACAATGGACTTAAGGGAATTTGCTTATTTTGAAGAGTGGGTGGGATACAAAGAAAGGAAGGAAAGTGGAGCTCACATTCTATTCCCTTTCAAGCTTTTCTGGTTTTCCACATTATATAATTGCATATATTGGATAACCTGAAAATAATCAGAACATATTTTTCATACAAAATCATGGGAGATCTATACTAACAAGGCCACGGAGGAGCTATACTCTGATGTGCTTTTCCAAAATTTCTCTAATTGCTTTGTTTTTTCTTTCAAGACTAAGAGAGTCGTGTATTTGGCCATAAACATCAACCAAATGCTTCCTTCATTCACCATGCACAGTTGTCTTGGATTTGATGGCTCTTTTGGTTTATTTTCCTTGACTGAATTTCCTGAGCAGAGTGTCTTACAATATGGATCCCTCTGCTTGAAATCTCTTCCATTGATTTGAGTTCCATTTATACATCCAAAATTTATTGACTAAGAAAAAAAAAAAACACATAAAATTTCATTTGAAACCCGTTTTTCTATAAACAACTATTTTGTTTCTGAACATACTGACTTTATAAAAGAAAACAGAATGTACTGAATTGACTATATAACTTTTCTAGAATGTTGTGGTTTCGGTTTTTCTCTTCCAGGTCAAATATTATCTTTCCTGTATGATTTTAAAAAGTAAATCATAAACCCATAAGATTTTTCTCTGTGGTAGTATTTTTGGGACAGTTGCAATAAAATGGCCTCAGAATGTTCTCTGCCTCCACGTATGCGTTCATTTCAAACTTAGATGTCCAATGTCTATGAACGTGCAACCGTCTCGCTACAATGGAGAATCAATACATGCTTGGTTTTCTTAATGCATCTGAAAGCTCTCCTCCAATATGATGAATGAATAAAAGTTTTTAGGAATTTCAAACCAGTTCTTTTGCCGAGTTTTTGGTGGTTTTTATTCTGTGTCTTGACTTGCAGTTCATCACTCGTTGCCCTGCCTCATCATTCTAGCAGGATGCTTATGCTAGCATCTTCTTCCCTTTGATTTGCTGCTTCTAATTTGCAGTGTTCTGGAAAACCGTGTGCCCAAACTTGCAAGTAAAGGACGAATCTTCACAGTGAAGGTATTTGGGGGTGTGGTCTCACCTGTGAAAGAAGCCCAAGAATTTCAGTCTTGGTGTTGTTGTTGTTGTTAAGTGCTGTTGAGTCGGTTCCAACCCATAGCGACCCTGTACAGGGTTTCCGAGGCTGTAAATCTTTACGGGAGCAGAAAGCCTCAACTTTCTCCCGCGGAGCGGCTGGTAGTTTCAAACTGCTGAGCTTGAGGTTAGCAGCCCGATTTGTAACCACTATGCTACCAGAGCTCCTTTTGTTTGGTACAGGAAACTTCATTTTTCTTTGTTCATTCAACCAGGAATGAGAGAAAGATATAAGGACAGACAGATAAGAAGGGACTGCGGAAGGCAGGAAGGGAAAGAG